TGTGCGTTTGTAGAGTCAAGTGCCTAAGAAGGGTTTCCAGAACCAGCTCAGTTTTTTTTTTTTTTCTTTCTTGTTCAGACAAACAAAATTTAAATCGTCTTGATCGGATCATAAGACTATCAAAAGTGTTGAAGAATGATCATCAAAGAAAAGTCCTCACGCTCAAGATATTCAAGCCGGTCGCAATCCTCAAGTTGCCGACATAACATTGCGGATCCGAGGCGAATTGGTTCTCAAACCAAGTATCTGGTCTACAGAAAGAAAAGACAAAACAAGTTTATCATGATTCGCACCCAAAGAAAAAAAAAGTAGAATTGACAGATAAGAGAGAGAGAGAGAGACGAAGAAAAAGATAGACGCACGTATTCTTGCCCTTATTAGCATTAGCGAGAGGCATTCTGCCGGCAAATCGACACACCGCTCGGGCGAAGAGCTCGACGAAATACGCCGGTCTCGAGTCGGGTGCGATGGCCAACATAGGACATAGAGGGATCAACTGGATCATCATCATCATCAATGTCAGATCAATCTCCTTGGATTGGGGGGACCCAAAAAAACTAGCGGGTTCGGGGGCTTGCTTACTCCGAGCAATTTCGGTTGCGGCAATCCTTTGAGAATAGGTCGACTTGTGACCGTTGGCGAATGATACAACCTTAAGACAAACGAAGTCTCATGAGCGCCATATATATCTTTGCAGGTAACCTAAAAAATAAAGGACGGGGGGGGGCAATTATCCGACACCAATCCGATGAAGATAACTTACAGACCTGAAAACAAAAACAGGACATTAGCGGAAAAAAAAAAGAAAATCGAAGTTCGTCAAGAGAAGAGACAGAGATAAGGGATACGACAAACCATACAACACAGTAGTGAACCCGCCCATACTTTGACCTGCGACGATAACCGGACGTTGGGGCCGATGAGCAGCCAAGTCTCGCTTGATGATGTCGCCCAAAACCACATGGACTGCGTGTGCTAGACAGTCTAGGTTGGTCAGATAGACATGGAAACCCGTGCTTCGACCGTGCTGAATGATTCAGTTTAAAGAGACATTTAGTAAGATTTGGTGATGATGGATTGATCGCAGTGATAGTTCTTACTGATGGTAGATCTGGGACTGTTTTACGACCTCTGCCGTCAGCTCTCGAGAGGTTCTTGTTTTTTGCTCAGCTTGCACACAAACTACGTACCAATCAATCGATACTGATATGTCCACCACAATTTGTTTTTAAACAAACAGATGGACAATAAGAAAGAATCAAGAATGGATAGAGTCATGAGGATCAAGGCAAGATCGAGGAAGGAGGCGGGAAAGTGACTAACACCAGCGTCCAAGAACGTGCGAGCATTCTTCGCAAACGAGCCTCCGTATTCGCCTATCCCATGACCTAAATCAAGAACACTCGAATCAATGAAAAGAAACCTTCTCTTCTGGGGGCCATCAATCGGACACTGGAACTTGACTTACAATACAATAAGTCCAGCTCAACCCCTTCATCCATTCAATCCCAAAAAAGAACACGGTATTAGTAAGCAGACCTCCTGATCAGATCAAGCTTGTTTTTTTTTTTCCTGGGCAAGATGAAAACTGAAGAGTGATCTGTGTTGCGAACCTGTTCGTTTGGAAGCCTCTTCGTCCCACCAGACCTAAGAAGACCGAATCAACAAAACTATGAGAAGAAAAGGATGATGATCAGAGAAAGGCAAAAGACAGGGAGCTGCTGACCTGATACCAGACCCAATGCGAAGTCTTATGGTCGACCGGCCCAGCCACCGCGCCTCCATCCGTCCGACCATCCTCCAAAAACACCCGCCCGTCCCAACATGTGTATCGCTGGTCCTCCCGAATAAGCTTCTCATGCGGTGAAAATGGTAACGCATATCTGCCGAAATCGTCAAAACAAAATTCATAAATCGCCAATCAAAAATCGCATCAATATATGCCATATATATCTCTCAAAACGGGGTGCATTTATTGAGGGAGGGAGGACGAAAATGATGTTTTTTTTTGTGTGTGGGGGGGACTTACCTTCCATAAGTTGGGTCGTCATTTGAACGAATACCTAAGCGTTCCAAGACGGCTACGAGTACCGAGCCGAAAAAAAAAAGCAAAAGTCAGAGAAGAAACAACAATAACGGGGGGGAAAGACAAGCATTTAACCGATCAGAATCAAGAAAAAAGAAGGGAGGATGAAGCGACGCACGATTAGCGAAGACGGATTTCCAGATGGGCAACAAGTCGACGGGTCTGGGGGTCTGTGTCCAATACCATTCTTGGTCCTTAGGAATCGGCCACTTTGAGGTCGGCGGATACTTCTCCCAGAACTGTTTCCGCGCCGCTTCTTGCTCATCCGCCGGCGGGATCATCTTCCGAGCTTCTGTCGTCCTCATTGCGGTGGTTGTACTTGTTGTCATCCTTTTTTTTTTCTCGGCTCTTTCGCTGCTGTTTTTCTTGAGGGGGGGACTGGTAGGGGTTGGCTTGTTTTTTTTTCTCCTCGCTCTCTTCTTCTGTCTTGGGGCGTTGCGATCTTTGCAGGCTTGTT